TATGCGACATAATACTTAAAAAAGGTTTTGAAAGGCTTCTATAAATAAAATTTTACTTAAGTGGCTTTCATTTCCCAAAATGCTGGTGCATATATTGAATGTCCCATGTAACAGATATTAGTATGACTCAGCTCAGACTCAACAATTCCCTCATACAATTCCCCATGACAATTTTACCATGAATTATTACAATTTTAATTATATCAATAAATTTCATTAATTGATGTTTGTGACATAAAGTTCAACTTATATTATAACATCGTGCCTTTCAACTCCTAAAGAGGTAGTCAAAGGTGCACAAACACACACAATGTAACATTTTTATTTTCACCAGTGATGTAATGAATCCCATGTTACATGGGGTGCATCTGGTACCATACACTGGGTACTATTAAAAAGTCCGTGTTATGATTTTTTTTACTAGTCAATAAAGCGTTGTTTGACGTGTGAATATTAAAGTTATAAGAGGTGTCATATGCGCATGTTTTCAATCTCATATTAATAATATTGTTATGGTAACTGGGGTGAATGACTAATTTCTATTTTAACACCTTGAACGCCATGGGGGACAAGGTATGGGCCACGATAGCGGAGGATTTACCTTCAACAGTTTTGTGTCGGCATGCAAAGGCTTAATGTCCGTCTAGTAAATTATTTTAAAGTGACAGACTAGACTACAAGTGCCCACTGCTGAACAAAGGCCTTTGGTCAGCAGTGAGAAGAATCTCACACGGAGAATGTTTGAGCATAAGTTTGAAATCGCCAACCTACATTGAACAAGCGTGGTGATTAATGGTCAATCCTTCTCCATGTGAGAAGAGACTTTGCTCAGCAGTGGGCATTTATAGGCTGTTGATGATAGGTTTCAAATGTCGCGTAACGTCATATCTTCATTTTACCTTCATTTTTAACGTAGAAATAACGTCTTACTCCTAAACTTTGAATTGTTTTACCTAAATACTGTTTTCTTATACGACACAATAAAAATACTTGTCTAATATTTTTTCATTATCTAACTGACGAACTGAATTAAATATGTATAGTTTTAGTTTTGATACCCGTCATCATCCCTATTAGGAGGCAACAACCATCTTAGGAGACTGGCGTTAAGCGGATGGATGAAGGGTCTGATGATACAGAAGGCAGTTCTCCTAGAAACAGCTAATCTTTAGGTTTATGTCTCTGGAGCCGTAACTACCGGTAGGTCGGGTATTTTAATTTATTTTTTGTTAAGAAGAAGAGGTATATTATATAAATGTATGCCATTCTTCTTAATTCTTAGTTGCTTCGTTAAAACGTCATATTTAATCAGCTGCAAGAAGTGCTCGGACAAGTTTAATTAGCCTAGGATCCATTGATGATAGTGTTTCGGGTGTACCATACCCGCTCACGTTTGTGTAGTACGAATCATAAATGACTTAGCGCTTAATGTAATAATCGTAATGTGACATATAAATATAATAAGTTTTATTGTTATTCAATATACTCAGTATTTTTTTTTTAATTTTGGCATTATAATGGTTTTAGGCTTGCCCTTTACTATAGGAAACAAAGTACTGCCTCGTTGGTCGCTGCCCAGCAAGTGGCCTCGGGTTCGATTCCCGGGCCACGCACAGAATTGATGGGCGTTGAGTGTTCAAAAATATTTAATCCTCCAGATTTACGAAATGTACATCCCACATGACCATTTATTGTGCCATGTTTGAAAATAATTAAATAGGTTCCACAAAAATTTGATCGACCAGGAAATCAAAGCCAAAGCCAAAGCCTTTTATTTAAACATTTACAGTCATTTTTTTTTCTTTTTTTAAACGTTGCCCCACACTCGGATTTTCTCCTGTGTCGTGGGTGCGTATACAAACATACAAGTTCACATACATTGGATGATTTCCCCCCTACAAAAAAAGCCTTTTACTCCACAATCGCTCTTGTGACTACTCCATAAATTAAGTTACCAACCAAATTGATTATTTCATTCCAAGTCTACCTACTTAGGAAAACATTTAGAAACTTTTATTTGACCTCAGGTTGTCTCCTAACAATATCGAAAGCGCGACAGAACATGCATTGTATGATCTTGTGTCTTACAGGCCCAGCGCACACCAGCGGAGGCGCGGCGAAGATACTGAAAATAAATCAATTTAATATAAACCTTAACAACTATGGCACACAGGTAAAAACGGCGTGCTAAAGAAGCTTGACAACGCACCGCGCCTCCCACTAAAACATGCCTTACTGCCCAACGCTGCATGCGTGCGACGATTAGGTACAGGCGACGACAAATGCTCAAAGGCTCAAAGCAGAAGTAGAAACGGGGTGGTTTTAGTCAGTAAGAAGTCTGACACTCTTTCTCGCCTCACCCAAAAAGGAAGACGTTATTGTCCACGACGCGTCATTTGTAACCTACAATTGTCAATAGGTAGACTACCTCGTTGGCCGAGCAAGTGCGACTGCCGGGCAAGGGGTCTTGGGTTAGATTCAGAAAAATAAATTCTCAGTAGTGCCACGGATTCTGCCTAAAGGCTCACCCCCTATTACATGGGACTTATAACATACATAGTGAAACGTGGGTGTTCCATTGTACAGTGGCATCAAGTATCGTAATGTGCACATCTGCCTACCCCTTCGGGTATAAAAGGCATTATGGTGCCATCTAAAAATCAGCGTTAGGCATGTACGCTCAACTTAATGCAGAGATGGAGGCCCTTTTGGCAAGGGCATGCGCCGTTAAATATTATTTATTTATATCTTGTTTTTATTAATTTTTAATTACTGTGTTATTATTATATTGTCACTGTGTTGTTATATCCTGTTGTTACTTTTTTTCTACATTTATATAAATATGTGTTTTTATTTCTTCTTTTCTTTTTTAATTTAGTATTTTTTTTGTATCTGTGTGCGTGCTTACTGTCGAATAAATGCTTTTTCTTTCTTTCTTTCTATTTGAAGTTATGTTATGTAGCCTACAAGTGGAAACCATCGTTATTTTTTCTTCTCCTCTTATAATATCTTCTGATTCATTTCGTAGCGGGAACCAAGACAGTTATTCATGGCATGTCCCTGTGACGCGCCAGACTTCAGTGTTCCGGTATTTTCATAGTTGTATCTACTGTAGATCCTGGCTAACAGGAAGTGCAGCGGTTTTAGTAGGCTGTGGTGAAATTGTTCCATTAACAAAAACTGCGTTCAAAAAAACCGACTTCGAAAACTAAAACCTAAAAACAAGCAAAAGGTAAAATCTAAAAAGCAAAAAATATTTATTATTAGTCATACGTACTTATAAGTTACCCACCCACTGATTGGTAAGAAGTCGGTGCCACAAGATTTAAATTCTTTAAACCCGTAACAAATACCTTTCATAAAGCTATGACCATTGACCTAAGTTATTTATGTTATAGGTTTCTTTTCGAAATTTTCTTTCTTAAAGAAATTGTAGTGTGATGATAGCTACATAAATATGACGACGTCATAATCATGTTTCTCCTACAGAATCCATAGAAGAGCAATCATGTTTGACAATTTAATAAAAATACTTTTGACTAGTTTTCAACTATACTATACTAGCCTTAGCATACTGAGCATGATTGTAGCAAGGGGCACGGGTCACTTCCTCCGTTTCCTCAAAGTCTCACTACTAGCGAAGAAGAAATATTTCGTACCGCGGAAAGTACATGAGTCGTTAGGCCATCGAAATAAGCCATTGCGTCTTTCGATATATAACAGAGACGGTGGCTGGGCATTACGACCTACCTGGAAACGGATTCTGAAATTTTCGTAAGATTACAGGCCTGCGGGTCTGGAGTATGATACAGTGAGCGCGGCGTGTCACACTATTTTTGCGTTGATTTGAACTTAACACCATCGCAGCCGCCGACGTCTAACGTGCCAACACTGTCGCTCGCACCGCCGTCGCCGATAAAAGTGCGAGTCCCGAGGAAAGTGCGCATGAATCACGGCGTTTACTCAGCCCGCACCGCGTACTCGAGTAGCCCAGCACAGATGCCGCTCAATCAGCACAGATGGGGCCCAATAGTGCTGATGCTGATACGGAGCCACAGAGGACTTAACGGGTTGCCGGGGCTCTGGCTGGAAGTGCAGGAGTAGGAACGGGGTGGTTTTAGTCAGTAAGAGTCTGACACTCCCCCTTCCGCTTTGCCCGTACGGGAGAAATAATGGGATGATTTTTCCCACTCAAAAAAAAAGTAGCCAGTAGTAGCGCGACAGTCGCCACGTCGCGGGTCGCGGAATGCTGCTAATGATTGTGAGCATCTAGCATGGCTTGAAACTAGTCGAGTTCCTTGTCAAATAATTACGTGAGTATATTGCAAAACAATATTAATTTAGTTTTCACCTATCGTATTACTACCTACCCTCTAATGGCCTCTAAATATTAAAACAATGAGCCTAACTAAATTTAAACGTCATTAAAACAAAAAAAAAATACATTCAGTTTTATTTTTATATGTAACTTCTTTGTGCCCTCATCAATATGATAACCATGCACCACATTATTTGGTTAAGTTTGGTAGATATTATCAATAATGACTACAGACGTTATAGATACTGCCTACTCTCACCCGACAATAAACGAGCTATAGCTATCCAACACAAATAGATTGATTTAATTCCGACCACTACTTTCGGAGATTAGCGCGTTCAACCAAACAAACATACCTGATTACTTTTTAATTACAACCAACATAGTGTTTTGAAATCACTCATAAACACACAGCAAACAGCCAACCATAGCTAAGGACAGTATATAAATATCAATTTATAAAATCATTGTATCAAAGTAATAATCTATTCACAAAGATAATAAATACAAGATCGGAACATCCCGTGTACAATTTCGATAGTGATTGTACTCTGTATCGATCCGCGCAGCCGCGGCATTGGGCACGCCGGCCGGCACGGCAGTCCGTATTAGCAAGCATTCTTGCTCCCAGCTAAAAACCTAATTACGGTTATTATAAACAAACAATAAATTGTGATTCAAGATGGATGATCCTCGATATGATCCCCGTATGCTGGCCAAGTATGGATTTGATCCTGAACAAGATAGGCGTCACAGGCAACTGCTGATCAAGGAGCTGACGAAGGTGCGCCAGGATGCCCGGGAGAAGACGGAATTCGATGATTTGCCCCTGAAGGAATTGCGCGGTAAGTGTATTTGCATTCGTATTATTTATGTTGTGTTATTGCTGCGACAAATTAGGTTAATTGTGCGATTGTGTGTGAACAATGCATTTTAAGGAAGGTTTTTCTAATGCTTTTTCGGCGAATTCAACTGGTGGTGCTAGAAAAAAAATATATTAGACAGCAATTTATGATGTATGATGAAGGATGTATGTACATTTTTTTCTATTTAATTAACCCTACAATAACACTAACAAACATTATAAATGTATCATCATCATCTTGAATACACAAAACCTCGATTACGTTTAACAAAAAATGAAAATATATTAAATGTTACTTAAAGGTCACAAACATCGCTATTGTATCAATCAATAAAGCTGGCGCATCCAGGGCCCGCGTGACGTCAGCACTGACCTACTGCATTGCGACCTCGCTCCCTTTATCTGGTGCAATTAATGCGAACCCCGACCGTACCCTTAATATGTTAATATATTTATTTATGTTAACGACATTGTCAAAATAGTAAATAAAATTACATAAATATGGTCATAATATTATATCAAGTCAGCCAGCGGTCTTTATATGCCCAGAGGGCCCTTATTATTTATTTATTTATTTATCATTTCATGTACCCACACCATACAGACAATATTACAAGAGACAACACATTATAAACATGAGGTACATAGGTACTGCATATCCCTTAAGGGATTTCTTCCTGCAGACCTGCGACAGGAAAAGGAATATAAACATAAGACATAAGACACAGTGGATTCCTTAATTAGAAAAGAAAACAAAACATTATGGCTAAACTTATTCTTAATGTAAATTTCTACGTTTATATTATGACTATAGAATTCTTTGATGCGATGTACTTGTCTGTATTTTTGTTTTGCGTCCTGTAGTCTACTATCATAATGTGCTAGCTTGGCGAGCGTGGCTGGGTCAAACAAACACAAATACTATATTGTTATGCGCCGCGACTGTCGAGGTGTCTGTAGTTCGGTTCCAAGTTCAAGCAAAGTATATTGAGTGCGTATTGATATTCGCCAATAGTGATTTCATACCTGGATAATAATAAAGTAGACATTGTTAATGAAGTCGATGTTACATAGGTAATTAAAATATTCACTATTAAAGGGAATTGTCCAATTTCTAGGGGACTTTGGCCACTCTTAAACAAACAGTGCAGCTAATAATATGTGTTTGATTTATTAGCTCAAATCAGTAAGAATGAGGATCTACAGCTAATTTTGTATCAAGTATCAACACGGGATCCATGTCCACATTCAAGTCGGGGCTTGATCCCGTTATTGCTAGAGCGAGATTCGGTGTCCGTAGGTATGCCAAGTTCAACGTAAATAGAAGGTTCGGAGTCCATGAAAGTGCTGGGGTCGTCAAGAAAGGAAGTCTCGGAATCCATTACAAAAAAAAAACTAGTATTCGTTATAAAACTCACAAAACAACAATCATGATGCAAATAAACAAAGCGAATGACAACTGTCATTTTGAATTCGACGCAACATTTTTTAAGCATCGTGCTGCCATATAAAAAACAATAATTGTAAATCGATCTATTTGAAATCGATTATACTGCTATGAAATAAAATAGAAATAATGAACACAACCTAAGTTTTATTATTTTTGAACTCCCATATTAATTATATCGTTTCTTAGAATTTTTGATTATGTTATTTAATGGAAACTATATTCAATACAGTACGGAGATTTCATTGTATTTTAAATCGATTTGAATTTGTTGGTCTCTGGAGTTTTGATTTGGCAATACTGAAAACCAATCCGAAGCCGGTATAATGTGTAGCATCAAATGAAATACCAAAAAAAAATTTTTTTTTAACAATTCCTTTTGATACAAAGTTATTTGCACCAGATGTTTACTAAAATAGAATTTAAAATATTGGTAAATTACTTTTTTGTATAGCATTGCGTACAAAAATGGCCAAGTTCGGACAATGCCCTTTAAGTTATTCTTGAACAGGGATGAGTTCATTCTATTTTATATAAAATAAAATTAGCTATTGCCCGCGATTTCATCCGTGTAGAATATACATTTTAGAACATAACTTCTTTTGTTTCAATATTGCTAAAATAAAAGTGGCCTATGTTACTCCTTAGAACATCAGTTACCTGATAAAAGTCTTGAAAAATCGGTCTAGCCATTCCAGACATTATCCAGTACAAACAACAACTATTATTTTACTATTACAAACAGTCACTCCAATTTTATTTATCTGTATAGATGTATATAAGTATCCAAAACAAAAAGAAAAAAAAATGCACTACAAGCGAGCTTGGCGGATCCATGTACTCCTAACAGCGTCAATACTGAATATTATTTACCATTATTATAAAACTCGGAAATATTGTCTCAATTTCAGATAACTACCACCGTCTGTATGCTGAGGCATGTAAAGATATGGAGAAGATACGAGATCCCACTTATTTGGAGTTACTTCAATATATAAAGGGTCATCTCCACCCTGATGGTAAAGATAAAGATAATTCTTTGTTAAAAACTTTTATTAATTTTATGTTACTATTTCCAAGTACCAAGGAACAATTTTCAAACTGTATGGGGAATATTCTTTTATTCTCTTTATCATTTATTCTAGTCTAGTCTAAATATGATATGCTTTATAAGTATTTATTCTGATATAATGTTTCGTATTCCAGAGTTCAAGTCGATCCGCATCGAGGTGTATGCAGCTTGCAACAAGATCTCCATGCAGCAGGCTACACGTAGGTTTAACGAATATTGTGTTAATTCTTCATATTTACACACACACACACTCGTAAATATATACATACTACCACACAAAAATACACTCATATTCACACACCATTAGTCCTTATCAAATACGCATGTTTAGTTAATGTTTTAATAAAGAATAATGTTATATTTAAGTCAGAAATTGCTTTAAGGTAAAACTTAATAATATTTATTTGTAAATGTTTTCAGTGGACAAGATAGCTCACCTGGTGGTGCTGCATGAGCCTTCGTCCTAAGAAGGTCGAAGAAAAAACAAACACAAAGTAAGAATCTGTCTCTTTATACTAACAAAACTTACGTATAATATTTCTGTACTTCATCAGACTGCCTCAAACATTCCAAACTTTTTATACATATATGATTTTTGATATGATTAAGTTTTTAAAAACCAAAGGGTTACTAACAATGTAGTTATGATTCTTATGGTACTGCTATTCTGCATAAACGGTGCTGATCGCTTATAATCATCTTAATTCAATTAGTAGATGTGCTGCCTACAAAACAGTTGTTAACACAATTTTTTAATGTTTTCCAGATTTTACCGCGATCTGCTCTTCATTAACGCTGTCATCTGCTGTCAACTGGCGTTGGATCAACATTATACATCTAAAATAATATCTACACAATAATGTGTACATAAAGAAACTCAACCATTTAGAGCTTCAACATACGAGCGGCATTTTGCCAACGGCAGAGGTAACTGTAGCCGTCAACGGCATTCGTTCGGTCGGCGGCATTCGTTGACGCGTCGACGGCGGCCGTCATAATTTCAACTTCGGTCGATTGCTGCTGTAGACGCGTCAGCGGTTGCCGCCGACAAGTGTTGACGGCAACAGTTGTCTCCGCAATTGGCAACGTGTCTCTCGTGTCTACGAGCTCTTATTTTATCCAAAACAAAATTACCACAAAAACTTTGACCATTGCAAAATTCGTCCAATCAATAACATCTTACTCGATTTTTGAAAAATTACCTTCCTAACATATAAAGGCAATCTTACCACCAATAGGGTAAATAATCGTTTAATTCTAAAGTCCTTTTCGTTCTACTAGCCAAATTGTATATTTAAATCAAAATGGGACAGAAAAAAAAGAAATCAATTATAGTATTGCGCATAGATACACAACAAATTATGACAAAGTTCATTGTTGGCTGTTATACTAAAAACACAAGGATTTTAGTTGAGAAAAAGTCGGACACAGTATTTTAAAACAACGACTGTGACACCTAACTAGCTATAGACTTTCACATAGAACATACACACATTGACACGAAGGACAATGTCATTTTCTTAAACTGTCAAACACCGCGAGGACACCAGTGACCGCAACCAATTGTTCTTTAACCCTTTGAGTACCGTCAGTATAGACACAATTAAAGAACAATAGATTGCGGTCACCGGTGTCCTCGCAATGTTTGACAGTTTAATTGTGTCTATAATGACGGTACTCAAAGGGTTAAGTCTGGTAACGTGGTAATGCTTTACACACGCACGTGTAAATAAACCAGTGACATTTTGGTGCTTCAACCATTTCTAAGTGACAGTCCGCCATTTTTGCAACGTCCTTGGAATAAACATTATATTTTGACTGAAGTTTGGTTACATGCACGAGTTGTAGATGACGTTAAATAAGAGCACGCGGTAAAATTCGAAGCGAGGCTAATACATGTGCGTTAACTTTAAGTTACATTAATCTATATTTTATTATATTAAGTACACGATAACTTACGTTAAATTGTATTAAATTTATGTAAGTTACGTTACTATTTTGTTGTTATAAACGTGCGAGTCACGTCATGAGTAAAGTTTATTTATTTTTTGTTGAACGTCTCAAATGATATATTTAAAAACGATGTGTAGAACAGGGTTTCCCAACTTTGTTAACTATTTATTTCTTGTCTATTTTTATTTTTATATTTATCGTTTATGTAAAGGCAAAGCCTTCAAGATATACAGATCTTACTTTAGGAAACCCTTACTTAATGTTCCGTCAATATAAAAAACATTTTATCTCTTCTAAGTGTTGTGTTTAGTAGATCGTTGCTTAAGTACTAACATAGCGATATTTTTGGCAATTATATCACTATGGTCACCATTAACGATACAATATAACGTAAAGACCAGCGAATCCTAGTTTGAGTCTCAAAATTGAGGCTAAGATAAAAACTGCAGGAAGATTAGTAATAAGTCGCATCATCGCTTACCACTAGCAGTGCGATTCTGTAACATCAATTCGATATTGAAACTAGAAAGAACTATTTCGAAAGTAACTCACTTGTATTCGATTCCGTATTATTTAAACAACGCTTCGAGACTCACTTCGCTTCGATATGGTTCACACAAATTGTTTATATGTATAATATGGAACCGAATTCAAATGAATATACTTTCGACATACTTCTTTCGAGCTTTGATATCGAAATGGTATTACAGAATCGCACAGCCGAGATAGTGACAAAACGCCACCAATCAATAAGGGAATATTGACTATCTTGTATTAAAAGTAAATTTTTACAACAGTCAATTGCTTTAACACCAAACTAAATAAACTTTGTTTCCGCAGTGTTAGTACATGAGTAGTGATAAAATTGGTCTTACACTGTATGCCAAATGTTAGATTTAAGTGAAAGGGTATGAGGGATGTTATTGACTTCATTGAACAGCCGAGGTTTGAGTCCAGTGTCTATACAAATACCATATAAAAAATTGGACGTGTAAATAGGAATGGCGTATGGCGTTAACATAAGCTTTGACATATTTTTGTCGAATGTCAGTGTTAATATCATACATTGGTTTTAGCTATTTATTTGTTCTTAATGTCATTTGTCTAGCGGTGTTCTGACAAAGTAAGAATACTGTTACGTCGAATTACAAAAGTCGAACGTCTGTCGATTCGCGATATGCTTGAAATGAGTATGCTAATTATGTGTAATATTCTACATACATGTGACAAGTAATCAATTGGTACATGGTTTCGTTCTTAAAATTACTATGTGTAACAGTACCCTATCATCGAAATTTTGAGAAGAGCAAAACAACTTATGAAATATTTCACATACCTAAAGATGAAATTAAGACTTACTTCAAAGAATTGTATTGTGGAAGATGGAATTACGAGTACAATAACATCTACCAGACCCTATAATAAGTGTTACTCCATATTTATCGAAACTCCTACTTGTAGAAACTCTCAGAATTTATATTTTGGTCGGTGTCCGTTCTAGAACACGGTCTAATACTACTTGTAACAAATCAGTATCGAGCTCAAAACATTAAATTACTCTCATATAAAAAGTGTCATTGTAGCAGTGACACTGAAAAATAATATCAGCGTAATGATAGGTAAAGAAAAGAAAAAAAACAAATAATAGATAATGATTGTTCTTTTTAAGAAAAACTTGAGTAATCTGTTGATTCTCTCAGTATTGTGATCTGTGATCAAATGCACTTTTGCTCAAACATTCCAATTCCATTCAATCAATGAATTATCAAGTTTTTCTTATTAAACAACTTCTTTAATTTATTTTAATTTAAATTTAAAATCCGCCGTTCTTGATACGGAAATTAGGTCGATGTATTGGCGAAAGGATAAATAAAAAGTATAGTTATATAAAATGTACAGTACGGTATGTGAGACAGACATGTACATATGTATCTATAATATACATATACAATGTACAATGACTGAGCGAAGCACTGATTTTCAATGATAAACGTTGACATTCATATGTCATCATTATTATTTTGTTGATATTTTGCACAAACTTTTTGTAAAAAAAATGTATTTTAGGAAATTTGCGAGGAGGGCACTATAGTGCTGACATTCACCGGGTTAAATCTGGTGGATGATGAATGCATAAAGTAAAATTTTATGAAATTATACTTAACGAGATAATTGTGATAAGAAAAGGGTTTGGAAAATATTTCAACAAGTAATGGAAATCCAAAGTAAACGAATCTGATGGTTTCTTCTATCTTCTATGTCTGTAGTCTAACGACTCATGGACAACTTCTGTATTTCATCCACTGTTGTATGTTATTCAGTAATAAAGAATAAATATGAAACTGAAAGAGCTATATTTTAATTACCTACAGTTTGTATAGAAAAATATTAAGTATACGTTTCTAACTAAGCGATGCAATGGAACAATGCAAAATATTATTTATAGCTTAAGCCAGATACCATGTTGGCAACAGTCGAATTAGAGATTATTATTTCACATTAATAATTTGAGGTTCACTTCGACTTTCCAAGACTGACATGAGACGTCTGAAGTACGCGTTTCCAAACGAAGAAAACAACACAAATTACTTAAAACAAGAAGTTAATACACACATCTTTCATAAGCCTTAGCTTGCTCACATCTTCTCTAGATGGCGTCCTCTGACTCCTGAATCGCGATGTTAAGATTCTCCAGCAAAACATGACGTCGCCAGTCAGATGTTGGTGTAGTAGCTTCATGCAAGTCAACAAATTTGTACACTTTCGTTTGTGGACTTGAGGGAATGCTAAAATACTAATAAGAAAAATACCTCAGACTGTCAGTAATAATTGTGAAGCCAGGTATTACGTATATTCCGATAGGCCGGGAAGGGAGCGTGATGTGATTGTGAAATTAAAAAAGGGTGACTTAATCACGCCAAATTATAATCTGTTCATGAATTTCTGCATCTGTCTCGTAACGCAATAAACATAAATAAATCTGATCCAGCATTCATTACTTAGGTTTAAATAATTCCTACTTAATAAGTAACCATTAAAACAGGAATTAATAGTCGCATGACTATGATTAAAGAGTCCTAATTGAAACTAATTAAAGGCGATTTTTAAAAACTTGTATTGACGAACGCACAACGTAAGACTGTACATTCAGTTTACTAGTCAGGCCAGGATTTACAAAGGAACCGATGTAGAGGAAGATCCTTTCGTAGTCGTGCTATTTGTCACAAGCATAAGAGCACGGCATTAATGGGGAGTGCACAGCATCCACGATAACAAATGACTGCGCACTTGTATGAGTTACAACTAAAAAGAAGGAATACTACATCTATAGTATGGAAATTATATGGAGTGTCTCCGTTACTCAGTCATTTCTATACTCCAATAATAGAAGCAATCACATATACAATCACATGAAAAGAAACAAGTGTCATTAATCGAGAATGACTTTACACTACTCCGAGTGCAACGCTTTACTCTAGAAAGATATGGGAGTGTTCTCGAGTACATAACGATGCTGTAATTTACTGTGAAGTTCGTGGGATGTGGGAGGACTGCTAAGCAAGGTGATGATCAGCTACGGTCCCTGCAAGCAGGCGTGGAAGTTATCTCGCAGTGTAGTTTGAAGACAAGGCAATTGACAAATTTCGTACTTTGTGTTTCTCAGCTAAAAATTTACTCTGCAATTACGGCTGATTGGTTGATGGCGAAAACTTTCATTTTCATCCGCCCTAGTACGAAGGGTTGTTATAATTTCAACTTCGTGTAATTTCTCTTATTTGTCTAAAATGTTTATTACAGCCGTGTTTCATAGTTACACCATGTTCATTGGACCAGTTCGAACAAACAAATACAAATATCCATTCGTTTGGAGGTAGTGTCAATTTAGAATCAACTAATTTCCAGAACTTGGCTGTATCTACGTTTTTGATCGACAGACTTGTGAATGCAGCGGTGTTCTGGATCTTTATACATCTTGTTGCTACAATTGTGGATACCAACGTATCTCTCATGGTTTATAGGACTAAACTGGCTTTTGAATTTAATTATTGCTGCTGTCTTTTAACACGGAACTTGCTTAATTTTACCCGGTTCTACTGGAACACGGACATCGTAGAACTCACTGATGACAATATTTAATTTGGTATGACTGTCTTTGGTAGTGCAAAGCCCAGACCAATCATGTTGGTCTTCACGGAGCTTCTCAAGATCCATACTACCAAAATTATGCTGGAAAAAACTTTTGGGTTTGGACTGGCCCAAAAACGTTGCATACGAGCCATGTTTCACCTGGACTCGACTGCCTCTTGTAAACCGTCCTTTATAGCACATAAAATTTTAACACTTCCGTCATTATACATATTAGAGACAGCACTGTTTGTTCATAAAAACCCTCATCTATTTGAACAAATTTCTGATGTGGTAAAAAGAAACAGGCGCAAAATTAATAGTAATAGACTGTCTGCATAGTGCAAAAACTACTCTGGCACGAAAAAGCGTATTATGTATGGCGCCAAAAATATATAATAAAATTCCTAATGATATTAGAAATTGTAATGTAAGATTATTTAAAAATAAATTGAAAATAATTCTGGCAAGAATGTTATTATACTATTCATGAATTTTTAAATGAAAATAATTTTAATGTAATTGTATCTCATATTATTCTTTAAATTAAATTAAATGTATACCTAATTGACTTGACGTTCACTTTGATTAACTGACATTTTCATGAAATTTTTATTTATCTAATACTAATTTGATTATATTGTAAAATGACTCATTCGTATTAATGTATTTCATTTAATAATACTTTTGCGCGCTGTGTTCCACGGCAAAACATGCTGTACATAAACATTTTATTCAACATCTTGTTACCTACCATGTTTTGTGCAAATAAATGATTTGATTTGATTTGATTTGATTTGACTTAGGAGGGCAGATTTTGTAGGGGAGGAAAGTAAGTACATTGTAGTAAAAATTATCAGCAGAACATTGTCCGTGCTTACCAATATGTTGGGTGGATGAGACAAGTTCGAGAAAGTTTACAGTTAAGAAAACGGTGAGTGGCGCTCAAGGGAAGAAGGTTGAAGGATAGATCTAAGTGACGTGGTGTGGGAATCCTGTATCAGAATACAGGTGTTAAAGACACCCATAATGCTATGATTGTAAGAAGGAATTAGTATTAAACGTAGGTTTATGTAGGAGGAGATGTCATTAATACACAAGGAAGGACAATAATAGACACCAAATAATGTTTAAACATGTTTTATTAATTTTTCGTAACAATCTTACCTGCAAATTTTTTTTGTCCTTACACAAATATGTTAGTTTTAATTGTGCACAATGCCCAATTATTTTTTTATTATTCTATATAGATCTATTAAGTAATGGTGTTTTGAGCATTACATTGGGTACTACAAGACTAAAAACTACTGATAACAATATTTAATATTTTAAATGCGATAGTTTTGAGGATGTATGTGTGTGTGTGTATGTTTGTTACTGGTTCATACAAAACTACTGATCAGTTCGGATGAAACTTCACTTATGTAGGTCATACATCAGACTAACATAAAGGCTACAATTTGTAATGACTATGTTATGTTATTAACACTGTTATTTGACTGTTTGTTTTTTAAAACCACAAAAATAAATTTATTTCGCAATAAAATCTAAGTACTGATTTGATTCTGACGACATTTATTACAGCCGTTGAATATAGGTACCTTGGACAAGACTAATTCAAAAACCCAATTTCCACCATCGAAGTCATTTTTTTACGCGAACGAAGTCACAGGTAACAACTTATAATTAATATATTTTTTTTCTTCTATACTTACACCTATTCGAGAGTAGTTCATATTATCGTCACCTTTATGGTTAACTTAAGAACATGCAAAAAAATTACAGAGGATCGTTATAAAATATTAAATTGTTAATAACTTTTTTTAAAAGAGACATGTTTAATAAAATCTGTACTATAATCTTTTATTACATACCTATGAACCGAAATTTATGAAGATGTAAAGTAACGAAAGAGCATTTATTTATGAAGCTTGTAACATACGGCAAATAAATTTACGGCGAAAATTTGAAAATGCAACTTACCGCATTTTTTATTACACCTGTTTCTTATTCTAAAACGTTGTTGTCAATTTAATATTTCGAAGCGTTTCTCTGCAAAATATGTTTTCTTAAAGAACTTATATTAAAGAACGGCCGAATTAAAAATGCCCTTAACCGACGAGCATGCATGAATAGACTGATGACTATTGATGAAGCGAATGTGGTTTAGAAGAATTGTAGCAATTGCTAATATCAATATCAAATCAACAAAATTTGCATATTCTTAAGTTTACCACAACGATGACGATATATCATTAAACGTTAGCCAAATTCGTGTTTTACTAAATACCCCAAGAGAACCCATATTGATGAGCAGAGCGCGATGTTCTACGGCTGAAACTGCTCCCTGAAATGAAATATAGTTATTATTAGTTATGTTACTCTAAAAGTCAATGCCAATACCTGTATGAAGATATTTTTGACTGTGAGGCAGATTATTTATTTTAATTTGTAAATGTGAAACATGTATTTCTTTTAATTAAAATTACATTACAGTCATTAAACCAAGATGTTTTATATTACATTTCAAATAATTATAAAGGAAAGGACAAAGAAATCCTTAATTGACAAATTCTACAGATATATATAAATAATATATAACAATAATATATATAAATAAATAAGAAGAAAATGCCTTACAAACTATGACATGTTTTGACAGTAATAACCAAAATAAACAACATTATATAAAACAATAATATAACATCACGCCTTTTTTTTTTAGTAGGCAGTGGTGCACATTACGGCACTTAATGCCACTGTACAAAGTAACATCCACTTTTCACTATTTATGATATGAGTCCCATATAATAGGGGGTGAGCCTATTGTCATATACCGGGCAAATTTCCAGACTCCGTGCTACTACTGAGGTCTTTACAAACCCAGATATACTTTGCCCGACCAGGGAATCGAACCCGAGGCCAAATACCCTGCATATACATATATATACCTCTATATGATTGACCTTAGTCGTTGTATCTTTAGATCGTCGCTTGAATCCCTAGGATAAACTAATTCCTATGCCTGGACCTTACGTTCAAAAATTCTTGTCACCATGTTTCTCATTAGCTTCACTGTAAACTTACATCGCTCGCTTAGTAAATAAAACCATCAAAGTTCCTAACAGTACTTGATATTCATCATTCATTCTCCTTGTCTCATCCGTTCTTCTATTCTCTACATTCCTCATTTGAATACTTCTTTGTTGTTCTCTCGTACCAGTCATTTACAAAGATTTACCTTAAAGCTGCTGAACAGGTTATTGCAGCGGCATTGTCTGCACGTATAAGTCCGTCAGGTAAGAGAGCGCTGTAATAATAAATAATTATAAATAAATAATAAAACAAGGAGAACTATGACCTGTCAAAGTATTTCAAATAACGACCAATATTTCCATCGCCAGATAAATTTTAACTAAGGAATAACTTTGAATATTTCATAATTCTACCATACTAATAACTGTCAAATGTCAATTTTATTATTCAGTTAAAAATTAACTGACTATTGAAAACTCGGCTCTAAATGATTAGTAATACTAAATCTTTTTTTTGGGGCAAACCCGCTACAGCATCCTACAACCGCAGCAAGTCCTGTAAGCCAGGGTCCATAGTAGATACAAACGTAAAAACACCGGCACAGTCAAGGCCGGCGCGTCCCAGGGACATGAATAATCGTAAATCCCGCAACGAAATTAATCAGATTAATTCATTGCCATATTGTGTATTTCCTGAACGGTACAACCTAGGTGTGTTCAAGGCCCGAGTGAATAGGTTGCTTATGGGATGACGTGCTCCACCGTAGACCGCATCATCGCTTACCACCAGGCGCGATAGTGGTCAATCGTCGACCCATCAAATATAAAAAATCAGTCAATATTATTAGAGGCGGAGAAAAACGATAGAATCCTCTTCCCTCGGTGAATTTAATGCAGGAGACTTAGGCCTAAAGTCACAAATAAGACTGCGCAACTAGGAGAAGCCCAAACGCCAAATGCCACGGAAATTTGACTTAAAACTTTGTAATGAGTAAGTTGTCAATTAGTTATTGTGATACTATATTTATTTGTATTAGCTTTCCTGAAGATGATGATGGAATGGTCTGAGCATAAGATATTCAGTATAATACTTACATATTCCCTCCAGCAGTTCCAAGGCCCTCTGCTCAAATTCTGAAATAGCACATTTGTTAAATTAATGCCAGATCTTTGGTCAAAAGGTACAATTAGATCGACAGCAGTAGACTTATTTTTATTTTTTTTTAAGATACTGTTAATATATTTCGCCTTAATAATACTGTATAATAGTCACCATTATGTGACTGTGAAGCATAAGACCTCATAAGACCTTGGGTCTGATCCAAAGATTGCATGAGGATAAGTAAAGTTCCTTTTGTTTGGCAATACATTGGAGGCTTACATGGTGTTAACATAATATGATATAAAATTAATCGCGAGCGCGCACTAAGTTACTGAGAGAGGCGCCTCTGACGCGCGCGCTGCGCACGCTCAACCTCATAGCTGAAGACGTTGATATGTTTTATTGCACTCTGAGTGAATTCACTAAAGTAGCACTTCAAAACATTTGTTATGGTTAGTTAGTAAAAAAATTTAGTTTGTAATTTAGATATAAGAGGCCTCAATATCGATTTGGATTAGTCTGTAAGGATATTGCTGGGAATAAAATAAAATAAAAAAAACTGATGACATCACGTCCAAACCCGGATATTAAGCCTATTTTTTTTTTCTTGCTCCGTTGAGGAATATTTTTGGACAGGATAGAAAATGGTTGAAATCTTTTATCTGCGTCATCATCACCCATTATAAGTAGATGCGACTTCAATAATAGGTATGCCATGCGGCAATGAGCTCCATCTTTAATCTTCCATTACTGAGACTTTGCAATCGAGATCTTTATCGAAGGAATACAATAGCAAACGACCGCCTACCTTCGGCGCTGAGGTTCTCGGCCCGAAGATCCTCCAGATAGGGAGCTACCCCAGACTGCGGGTTATTCACCAGCTCCCGCATTACTCTGAGTCGGACATCCTCCCGGGATACTATAACAAATCACGTTAATATGAAGCACTCGTTATCAACACGTGTAGCGTTCACAACCATCATAAAATTTATGAATTTTACCCAAGATTCTCCTCTAAGTAACTACAGATTAGTCCAAAGTGACACACAGGACTACCACTACTATAGTAATACTTTAGCCAATTAACAATTATTCAATTATAAAAAACATTGCACTGCACGATGCAACGTGGCGACTGGTTATCAACGTGGCGACGCAATATTCAAAATCAAAATGGCGATTGCATAATATACATGTTTACTCGTAAATGACGATTGCATTGCAATAACCTCATTCATAATATTATTATAACATAGCATTAATATACAGCAATTGCAAGCTTTTTACATTTTAAACGGCGTCATAAGACTAGGGGAAAAATGTGACAGTCTGCTTACGAATATCAGTTTTGTACGAACAATAATTGTAAACATGTGCGCAAAAGAAACTTAAATATTTCGCGGTAACTACGCAGTAAGATTACTACCCATAAAGATGAAGGTCAATTCAAAGTTAGGATCAAATCATTTGTATGGGTAGACAGACGATAGCGTTTTACACAAAAAAACACATATTTAGTTGAAGGTTAAATAAGGAAATAGCCACATGTACAGTACCGATCTCGTTGAAAATTTGGTTCCAGCTGCCTGCCTGCGTCGTAGCATCAGTCATGACTCGTTTCCGTACTTGGAATATATGTACTCGAAAAACTTGACGATGAACATACTCTGAAGGCATATTAAATAAGTAAGATAAGTAAATTTATGAGAACAATTAAAATCAGCACAGTAAGAAAGGAGTCGTGTTAGCAAATGCAACTTTGACCAGTTAACGTAATTTTGATAGCAATTCAACGGCCAGAGGGCGCTGTTGATTCCTTTGGTTCGAATGTACAGTCGTACACTCGTGTCCAGAAAACTAACGCATACATTTTGCAAATGACATTGCATTTGAAAGAATGAAGAATAAAAAAAATTTTTTAAATCACGCTGTGTGCTAAAGTAGTACTAAATCTATATAATTAATTAATCGACGTCACCGTGTCTATGATACTGTTTAGTAACTTTTGCAAAACTGTACGTTAGAGTGTTTTAGAATATTATAACTATCAGGATTCATGACAAAATGGCGTACCTTTGACGAGTAGTGTTCGGATAATTTTGAATTTTAATGTTGTTTATTTAATACTGCCTCGATGGCCGTGTGGTCGCAAATGCGACTGCCAGTCAAGGGGTCTCAGGTTCGATTCCCGTTAAATGTTAAATGTTACTGAGTTTTTATAAAAATCTCAGTAGCAGCACGGAGTCTGGAATTGTGCCCGGTATATGGCAATAGGTTCACCCCCTATTACATGGGACTCATAACATAAATAGTGAAAAGTGGGTGTTACATTGTACAGTGGCATTAAGTGTTGTAATGTGCACCTCTGTCTACCCCTTCGGGGACAAAAAGGCGTGATGCTATGTCATTTAATACTGGCGTCGTTCTTGTTGAGCAATTTATGGGTTATATAATGTACAGCCATTTTGAAAATCTTAATGTGGTCATCACCTTTTTATGCTGACTGTACGTGTCCGTCTCGCTTACACATATAGGAGCAACTAATTGCTGCTGTACTCTTCACATACCTTACCTGTTTGCAATTTAATATCTAATTACCCTATTTTTTTGGTTTTATAAAATACTTCTGTATTTTACATGTTCCAATGGAAAATTTTTAAATTTTTACGCTAATCATTTATTTTATGTTTGAACTGTTATTAACTACCTCATCTTTTTAGTTTCTATATTGATACTAGGTGTAGGGTAGACGACTAATTTTTATTTTAATGTCCGTCTGATAGATTATTTAAAAACATTAGACACGTATTTTTTATTTTCTCACAGAAACGAATAGTTTCGAAGATATATTGATTTGAAATGTCGCGTGACGTCACTTCTCAGTACATTTTATACTAAGAAATGACGTTTTAGCCCCCACTCCTAAACTTTGATTCGTTTTATCTAAGTATTGTTTTATTATACGACAAAATAAAAAAATATGTGTCTAATATTTTTTCATTACCTAACTTACGGACTAATTATATTTTTAATTTTCATACCCTGTCATCATCCCCATTGTTTTTTCAAAGGCTGCTTCGATCCAAAATTGTAAACACCACCTGGGGTTGCTCAGTCAGTCAGGACATGGCTAATAAATGTCGTGTTATTTTTTAGCTAAACTATTTTACTATTTGATAAGCGTAATACAATGATACAAAATAAAGATATATAAAAATTAATTACTGTTCGTTGGTCTCGGTAAAACTCAAAGACGGTTGGGCCGATTTGGCGAATTTTGCTCTTGAATTATTTGTAGAAAGAAGTTCAGAGAAGGTTTAAAAGGTGATAAAAAAAATTGAGTTCGTACGAAGTTTGCCGATTCAGCTAGGCTAATATTATAAATAGATATATAAATGTTAGTATTTCATTATGATGATGTAATAATGCATTACAAAAAGAAGGACTTCAAACAAACACGTGTCAGAAAAAAAAAATTAAATTAATCTGTTGTGCAACATGAGATGAATTCGGATTAACTCTTATCATTCGAGCACTTTGTGGTAGATGACATTCTTTGTTTTTTAGTCAGGCGTCAGAATATATGTATATAGCGGCTGGTTTGCCGACACGTGAACAATGAACATGCCACGTGGATACAATTTGACAATGAGAAAAATTACATTTTCTAGATTGAGACCACAAATTGTCAAGGATTGGCCATGTGATTTGTTAATCGTCACGGCGATGGCAAGACGAACTACCTGCCCAACAAATCTGTCTATTATCTCAAAAGGCAGATTTGTTGAGATCATGGGAATCCTTGGAATGTAAACTCCCTCTAATACTACGACTATAACTAGTTACTACTACTTTGGATAGGTCATTTTTTGAGCTTTGTAATTATCTTAAAAAAGTCATAGACCACAAAAAAAAAACGCTTTCGTTAACCTATACAGGGTGACTCGTAACTTGATGTATTCCTCTGGGGAGGTCATAATGCAACTAATTTCCTACAAAATTAGCTCTGACGTCTAATTTACGTTAATTAACTAACTAAAAAGCATCAAAATGTATAAAAGCTACTGTTTTGATTTACTTAAATCAAACCATAGTACCTCCTCCTTTTATTGAAGTCGATAAAAAAAGAAATTAAACTTTTTTAAATCGGTTAATAAATATACTAAAACCTTTCTCCTTAGTGTACCAAACACTTGTCTGAAACCGCATTAAAATCGGTTTAGCCAATCGTCAGATAAGAACATACATACAGCTTAAACTGAGAACGTCCTTTCATTTTCTGCAGTCAGTTAAAAATATTTGAATTCAGATGATACTCTTCACTTGACTGTACCTTTCCAGAAAGATATTCGGGAGAGAGAGCGAGACAGCACTATGGCCGATGTTACCCGAACGAATGATGAGGGGATGAGGTCAATTCGATGGTCCTTTATTCAGACCCCTCCATTATATTCCTTTTGTGCTGCACCAAGATTGAAAGGATTGAAGTAGTAATAATTCATGGACACTTTATACTGAGTCTGGTTAGAAACAGCTGGCGAATGAATAACAATCATGCAAATTGATGTCCATTATATCAAGGACTGCCTTGTTTACCGAGGGGTCCTCCGAAGGTCAGCATTTACTTTAATATGCTTTCTATTACATGGGAATAAGATACAACTTCCAAACATTTGGTATCTTATATTATAAGATTTTCTACATACCCTCTCCCACTTGCTAACCGAGAAAGTATATCCCGTTTCATCCTGCAGATCATGGGTAATAAAGAGTAGACATAGTGAGGTTACCGGAGCCCCCCCCCCCCTCCCTAGTCTCCCGAATCCCCGTATCCTCCCTAATTCCCAAAAGGCCAGTAACGCACATGTAACGCCTCAGTGTTCCGGGTGTCCATGAGCGGCGCCGATTGCTTACCATCAGGTGCACCGTCTGCTCGTTTACCGGCTTATGCTATAAAAAAACGACAGGTACTAATACTAGGGATACTAGTCCCTTATTGTGTTACCCGAGAAGTCTAAATTCTACGAACTTCTGTTACAAGTTACATTCAGCTCATCATCTCAACGTTATTTTAAATCCACATCCTCAATCCTCCACGTCCTCATTACATTTCCATTTTTTTATGGGATAAGCCGGTAAACGAGCAGACGGATCACCTGATGGTAAGCATTTGTCGCCGCCCATGGACACCTAAAATACCAGAGGCGTTACAAGTGCGTTGCCGGCCTTTTGGGAATTTGAGAATTATGGGGGATTTGGGGATTGGGGAGACTGGGTAGGATATTGGTCAAGATTGAATAATTTTGTACCTTTGCTTGTTTCATTCAGAATTAAAAATTGTGTAAAAAGCCAGAACTACTTATCTCTCAAATCATGTGGCAACGGCAGAGATGAATGTATTTGAAACCACCCCTACTTTTCCGTGGGTATCGTAATAGCTTATTAACTAGCTAGTTTTACATTTGACAGGCAGCGAACAGTGTCACTGATAATCCAGGATCTTTTATTTATTCAAACTGGTATTTCCAACTAGTGTTCCAAGTGTGGCCTCTCTTATGTTGAGGAGGTCCATAGTCTAGCAGTGAGTTGTCAAGGGATGTTGAGTTACATAACATAACACGTGTTTTATCCCCGAAGGGGTAGGCAGAGGTGCACATTACGGCACATAATGTCACTGCACAATGTAACAGCCACTTTTCACTATTTATGTTATGAGTCCCATGTAATAGGGGGTGAGTCAATAATGAAGTAAAGCTGTGCAACCGGTAGTTGTAGGGAGCCAGGCTCCTAATACCACGGCCTCATAGGAAACCAGAGACGTGAAACACAAAGTTCAACGACCTCTCATGTGCAACAAACAATTCAATTGAAGTTCAAATTTATTTATTCATATTCACATATATTAATGTTACATTGTAGTACAGTATAGTATGATATAGATAAGATACTAGAACACGACATGTATACGAGACAAAAATATTCAATTATTATCATTGTGTTAATTTGTGTTTTTAATACTATTAACTACAGATTCTTTCTAAATCATTTAGGGCCAGTTTCACAAGTTTTTGTCAAGAAACCAGACAGATAATTAGAACGGAGCTTCATTGTGTAGTTATTTTCTCTGATAGACATACATATATCTAAAGTGATAATATAGTGAAACCGACCATTAAAATCTTATGCAACTATGGGTAATATATTAGTCGAAAGGTTTGTAACATGTGCGTTGTCACAGGGTGTCTACACTAAGTTCTACTTAAATTGCAAAAATTGATATAACTTGAATGTTTTGCTAAGATAAAAGTGTCTTATACTTAAGTAAATAATTATTATCATCATGTCAGTTAATTCCATAAAAATAGTATTTGAATGTAAATTTTCTTTATTCTTTGTTATACACCGAACTACTAAGAAAATATTGAGATAAGTATGTCCCAGAGTAGGGATACGAACAAACAGGTTTGGGTCCTGCATCCCATAATAATATCAGAAGAATACCATTGAAGGAATTTATTCCTTAATACTCAATGCTCCTTGATCTACGCCTTGACGAAATATACATACATAGGTCCCAAGGACAGGTAAACTCGTCCCTTTTGTAGACCTACACAAATACAACTACAAAATATTTTATGTGCGTAATATACTTAACTAATACATTGATCATCAATCTCCACATTACGATTACCTGTTTTACGGAGGTCAGTCTCCACACAGATCAGTTCAATACAATAAGCGAAATATCTGAAAATGACTAAATATTTTATAATACTACAACAGACATTGTATGTATTTTCACCAATGATAAATCTCAATTCGTATGCACATCGCTAAATATTAGGTGATGTCGGACTTCTTAGGGTGTTTTTATAGTCGATTGTACTTACATTATTAATTATTTAATACTAAGCAAACTGTAAATACGTACAGCAGTCCATTTTGAAACAACACGTTTCGAAAACTACCAACAGTTGTAAATTTCATAATGTTTTATCACTAACCTAATTACTAAACATCGATATAAAGTAAAATCCAATGTTGTCAAAACACCTCTGAGATTATTCTTGATTCGAAATCTTTACTGTGTTCATACATTATTCATCAAAATTGGACCAAAAATCGTTTCCAAATAATTTCTTCAAAGATTGGCACGTTAAACGACATTGCCACAATAGAAAGTACAAAATAAGTATGTGACAGTCATTTTGGAAAGTATAGGAGACAAATATTTGACTTGTTACCCATATTTAAACCCTATACAATACAATTTATGACGTCTTCCTACTTACCATTTTAATATTATCATTGTAAAACAATCACAAGAGAGAATAAGCTCTAATTAACGGGTAAACCCTTCCAGTTACTTTTTTCAGCTTAAATTATAATTGAGCTGATAATAATAAAAATTTAATCTCGGTAATGTTAAACATTTCAAAAATCGATGAGGACAGAATCTCGTTCGCTTAATAAGTCAATGATCTCTTCATTAATTTTATTTAAACTGTTTCATAAGTGTTTTAACGCAGTGGAACACGTGAGAAATTTACTGTAATTTCGTACACTATAAAAGAATTTGTAAGTAATACGACACTCTTTGTGCTAACTGTACTCAAAAACGTTAAAAGCAAACTAAATAAATGTATGTCTTTCCAACAGGCGTTTAAAAATAAATCTCGTTAAAAGACCTCTAAAATAATAAAATAAAGAAACAATATTTAAAGTTAATCTGAACTATCAGTATCAGTATTATCGTCATGGTATCGCCGACCGGAACTATGCTGTTGTCCGCCAGTCCTCGACACATTGTCAGCCTCCTGTCAACCATCCTCTTCCATCAGAGAAGGTAGGGGAGTGGTAAAAATGCCGCATATACCAGCTGCACCGAGCGTCTGCACCCTGAAATTAATTTACCAAAATATTGAAACGAGTTCATTATTCTATTGAAAAGAAACAGAATTGTCCCTTCCCGTTACGTTTTCAAAGAAAAATAATTTCTAATTTTCAAATTTTCGTTTAAGGAGTTTTTATTTTATGGTTTACTTATTCCGGCATGTACCGGGTTATTGATGATATGATTGCTGAATAAGAATGAGAGAAAGGAAAAAAGTAGTGTTTACTGTTTCTCAGACTTTTCACTAAGAAAGAACTCTAAAAAATCTCTCACGTACGGCGTATGTAGATGGGGTTCCATTTCCTTATCCACGATATCTCGCAGCTTTTTGTTCCTTTCTGAAACAAACAATATACCATGCAAAAACTAATTGATGAGGGTTGGTGTACTATGGTACTTTTTACATTGGATTTGGGAGACTATTATCTAACCTTTTTTCCTAAATGTCACGGTTGGTTACAAATTATTTTTTATTGAATTAAAAAGTGTAGGTACCAAAAGCATTTCCTTTAACTCAAAATAACTTTTTGTTTGTGAGTGTAGTGTTCCTTTCCTAAAAGGGGGTTACTTTCTTGGAATAGACACGCTCGTGTTCTGTAGTGTATAGACTTAAAAAATATTGGAACATTATAAGAGAGTGGGCATTTATTTCAGAAACTGTTCTCCATATTATATTTTCGCTTATGCCACAATTAATTCATTAGCTGTATCGAGTTATAACAATTCGCATGTGCCATACTTGTATGAGTAACACTGACGTGCTTAGCTTAATATATTATTTTAACTAATAGTAGTTACGAGACTTACTCACCAAGCTCTTGTTGTAGGTCATTTTGATTTACAGGGGCCTTTCGTTTATCTTTTGCTTTGCCTTCTTTCTTCGTCTCTTCTGCCATTTCATGCGGTGGCGTATATTTCATTGTTCCCTCTATATTTGGCGTATATTTTTCTGAATCCGATGAGTCATCATCTAAAACTATCACCTCGCTCACAGAGCCTGGTCTTAGAGCAGTCATTGTAGATGAGCTACTAGCTCTTTCCATATTTCTTGATGTTGAAGCTATTAAACAGAGTGGTTCATTTGATATTTCTGTGTACGGTGGCATAGATGTGCTACAGTGTGCTTGTGAATAATCGAAGGGTTCATAAACTGGTGATGCTGAACTCATCCGCGGGTAGAAAGGCGCATCAAGAGTAGGAGAAGGATGAGGTCTTGTTATCGTAGATGTCGGTGCTGTACGTCGCGCCGCAGACGCACTCGCCTCTGACAGATCCGTTGCCGTCACTTCTCTCCAAAAACCGGGCCCCAACATTTTTCGGACTGAAAAACAATACCAAATCATGCAAAACCTATCTATAAACGTATTATGGGATATTGACGCACTATGTACTGGTCGCCGACAACTGTGGTATATAATATTAAAAATAAAATAAAAATAATTTATAAGTCAGCACGGTTAGCGCGGAGCCTAGGCAACTAGCTATGGCGCGATATGTTGGAGCGCCTAACATATTCGCCGTAGCAATAACATAATATTTGATACCAGAGCTGTTAATTATTATTTAAAATAAATGTGTAACGTCTTCCCCTCACTCGTGTTGTTAATATCAATTTTAATTATACAAGGTGACTTGTAACTCGACGAATTCCTCTCGGGAGGTGATAATACAACTAATTTCCTACAAAAATAGCCCTGAGGTCTCTGGTCTGAAAGTGGCGTTTCTATGACATTCAACGAATTCTATTTCTACCAGTATAAGGAATAATAAATGTTTTTTCTTTAACTCGTCTAGTACCGGTTTTATAGACACAATTAAAGAACAATAGGTCGCGGTCACCGGTGACCGCTTGGTGTTTGACAGTTTAAATATTGACAATAAATTAAAACTAAAATCACTTAAACCAGACCATTACTCTTTTATTTATTGATGTTTTTGTAGTTCGATCGGGATTTTTTCACCAAAACCGAAAATGTTAAATATCTCAGAAACTAGCTAATTTTGTAGGAAGTTAGTTGTATTATCACCTCCCGAGAGGAATGCGTCGAGTTACAAGTCACCCTGTATATATATCAGTTATTCTTCCAGCACCCCCTCAATTCCATACACACCGAGTAGCGGGTCCGATTCTCGCACGGAGCAACTCTTTGCGTGATCAACAAAATGTTGTTTCTGGTCGGGATATCAGGTGTATGTCAAATTATATGTTTGACTTGTCAACACAGGAGTCAATCTTAGAGTTGATCAACGTATTTAAAAAGAAATGTTTGCGGTTGCGCCGTCTTATTGCAACGCGCAATAGGGGCAAAGCTTAAACTGTCGTAACGGGCAAGCGTGTGGACGACTGTACATACATAAATGCTGTGGCTCGGCCTGGCCTCCTGGCCTCCTGGCTGAATTAGCATGTTTTTGTCACTAAGAAACTGAGTCGCTGGCAACCAGTAGACATTGACAGGTTTCAGGTTTGATAGGTTGTGGTATTTTACTTCTTTATGGGGATATAATAGTTTTAAGTGACTCTAATTAAGTTGAGCACAGAGTATAATTTCTTTGCCGGTCAGCTGGCTAAGGTTCATAATCATACCAACAATAGTCATGAAAAGAGAAAGGATGATTTTACATAAATATATGTTTTATGTCAACATCATATTTCTTCATACATTGCAATATGATTAGATATGAAAGTTACCTATAATAATGATATATTTGTTGTACTGTTACGTCTATATCGAACTAAAAAGAAGGCCACAATATTCGTAATCTATGATAATATATTTATAACGACCTATATACATAAGTGAAGCCTTTTAATATCGAGCAGCCTAGCCAAAGTTCATTTAACTCAGACTGAGTTAGGTATAGTCTTATTTACAGGTTCAACTAGCTACACTCTAATAAAATATCTTTAGAATTTTATTGGAATTGAGACCGTTTTAAATGGTTTTTATTTGAAAGCTGTCATGAATATTAATGGAATAGAATTTCGCTTATGCCGATTACAATTAAATGATATTTAAGGTTACATTTCAGTCGCATACATCATAATATTCCATTATTGAAATATTCGAGCTGAGCTTCATTATTTAATGTGCAACTAGTACAAGAGACTTATCTAAGCGTAATCGACTGTGCTTCAGTAAACTCACCTAAACTCTTAGTCATCCGTTCCCTGGCTCGGCGTCTTCTCTGCCCTTTCTTCCAGGCTTTAATGATACTAGCAATTTTCGCCCGCGTTGATGGTTCCTTCTTTCTTGTGCTAGTTGGTCTTTGGTCCTTTGACCGCTTTTTTTTTCTTTTTGATGCAGTGGCTGTACATATTTCTGGTTGGATGTTCGATCTCGTCGCCACTTGGACGTCCGTAATATTATCAGGGTTATTTTCTGAATCCTGTTGTGTAGTTTCAGATGAATTCTGTTCGTTTGCTGTCTTTTCAATTTCGTTTCCGGTGTCCACGGGTTGTGTCATTTCGTTACTACATACCATAACGTCAGGGGGTTTAGAGGAATCTTTTTTTTCCAAAAGATAATTAGTCACAATATCTTCAGGTTGGCTTGTTGAGTTATCCGTTTCATTTATTCGGTTATCAATATTTATTGTAACATCAACAATATCTGGAAGTCGTTGCAAATTATCGGTAGCTTCTGCAACGCTCGCAGTCTCCAGTTCTTCAGGGGGTTGTTGTGGACTTTGTGCACTGCTTGAATCATCTGCAGTGGGCTTATTATCAGGCGGCTGCTGGCAGCTGTCACTTATACTTTCTACAGGGGGTCCCTGGGAGCTATTTAAGCAAACCTCGTTTGCAGTCTTCATTGGGTCTTCAAGGGAACCTTGGGGATCCTCAACCCCTTGACACTCCACAAGGTCCTCACCCTGTGGGTTTTCAGAAGCAACTTGAGGTTCTTCAATCTTTGGTAACTCTGATGTTGGAGAATGGCATAGCTCTGGGGGTTCTCTTGCTTCAGGAGGTGGTTCCATAGTCAATTATTAGGTCTTCGATTGGATAACAGTTGCCAGAACTAAACGCTCGCACTCACCAAATGTAACTGCCGGACGCCAGCCCGACGCGCAGGTCGATAAACGTACAGGCGCGCTCATTGATGTCTCGTATTCAATTTCAAATCAGTTTAATATTTTATTTGCGATCAAATTAAAAACAATGAGAATATACTTTTCATGTGGTTCCAAGTTATGATAATCGAATTTAAATATCAGGCAATATGTTTTATTATTTATTTTCATCGCATAAACTAACCAAATTGATTGTAAATGTACGTCAAAGTTACAGTTGGTTTCTAAGTCTTCTAAAATATTTACACACTCTGGAAAGAAAATATTGAGAAAAAAAATTCTCCCAATTGAAGTTATTTGCTAATTTCAAAAAGGAAGGTTTATATGGAGAAAATGATTAAGAAATATGGAAATATTCCTTTTCAATTTCATAAAAGTTTTTTATTTATTAAGTATCTACAATATTTCTAACTAAACATCAACATTTACCTAGGAAAAGAGGAAAATTTTAAGTACCTAAAATTTTTATTTGTTTTGCTTACAAATACTTGTTTACGGCGCGCGTTCACGAACTTGAAACACACAACCTTGGCATCGTTTCATTCAAACATATTGTAACTATTACAAGGCATCGTATCATCAACTGTCTGAGCCACCGCGAATGAGACCTTTGAATGAGGGTGAAAAGCTCTAAAGTCACACAAAAACATACCACTATTTTTACCCAAATATCACAGCGCAATCTTTGCATAGTCGTTTTTAAAATATAAATATTATAATTAAATTATTGTGCGATTAAAATAAGTTCAAATAAGGATCCACATTAAAGTGCATGATGTGCATGATGATGATACCGGAGCGTGTGAAAAGGGCTTTAGCGATTATCAATAATAATTTCAGTTGTACGTTTCTGTAAAACAAAGCCAGATTCAATGTCAGCAATATAACCCGATAGAAACATCAACCGCTCAAACTGTTGTGGTTCTTTCCTCAAAAGGCCACTACAGATAGAACTTGCACGGTTCTCACACATAATCTATTATACATATTGTCTGGACTTTAAAAGAGACAGACCTCTGAGTTTGTTTCGGCATTTCTTCTCAGAGTAGTCAGTTAGGAAATGTCGACCTCATCGTTCGCTTGATAAAATTGACGTGTAAAAGTGCTGCCTTGTAGCCTATTTGCAGAAATAAATTCACTTGTTTCACTTGACATAAAGCTATGAAATTTAAAGTACACTAATCTTACAATATCTAAATGGTCTAGACGTCGGATGTTCCTAATACCACACTAATACATAAACAGTAGAGAAAAGATTTGTCGTCTATAGCAGGAAATGTATATTTTCAAATTGTAATTTCTCGCGGTTCAAAGACATGTCACTCAACTGGAGACGTGTCACGTGAAGCGGATATGTATTTGAACATCCAATAGTCATTCGTTATTCACATAATAATAGACTTTGGCCATGAAATTGCCGTTTTGTATGAAAAAAATTAAACGAGTTATTCGTGTGTTTTTGTTTGTTTTAATCGAAGTGAATTCACCCATGCTATTAATGCATCTTTGCCAAATCAGTGGCAGTTTATTGATGCCCTTCTTAAAGACTGTGAACTTGTATGTTTGTAAACGCACCCACGACACAGGAGAAAATCCTAGTGTGGGGCAAAGTTTAAAAAAAAAAAAAAAAGATTTCTTTAAATCATCTGGACGGGCGGCAACCAATTCTTCAAAGGCATTGCAATCTGCCTCTCCGGTATCGATTTTTTTTCGTCAAGAAGTTATCCAATTTATGGAAAAAGTATTAGTCTGTATTCGCAAGGTCTAATGAGTAGGGCGAATGACGCAGAGCTTCCAAACCCAGTTTTTGCAACTTGGACACCGTCTGCTGTGCAGTATGAGGTCGCGCGTAGTCATGCAGGAGCAACGGAGACGAGCGACTGACTACTGCTGGTAAGAAATGTGCCAGCTTCTGTTCAGTTGAACACAATGAACGAAGAACTCTTCGCAGTACACATCTACAGTAATTCTCATCCCGTTTGGTAAGACGCTGTGATGAATCACACCGGCCCTAGAACACCAAACACTGACCATCACTTTTCCAGGTGTAAGTTTTCTTTTAGGGCATTGTTTAGATGCTGAACCAGGATCATACACAGATTTAGAATAAAAATGTATGAAACAATTAAATTTTGGCATAATATGCGGTTTACAAGCATGTGTTGCTTTCGTCCGTGCGTCACTGCAAGCGTGCCAACTGAAAATCAGTGTTGGGTTCTCACTGTGCCCAGCTTTTAGCTGACTTGGCGACCCTTTCGGCTTGGGCATGTCTGCAAATATCGAGCAGTACCTATTTTATACCTATTATTATTATCTTCTAGTTTTATAATTTAGCTTTTATCTCTTTTTTCTCACTCTCTTGTGTAACCCTCTTATATTGTTATTTTATTAAATTGTATTGTATTGCTACTTTTTGTTCGTTGCATTCATGCCGTATGCCGAATAAACTCTTTTCATTTCATTTCATAACCAGTGACTCGTTACGCCCCAGCCGCTTGTCCAGACACTGCGCTAACCGTGCAGCCGTCATCATGTTTCTTTGTCACCAAGCTGCATCTCATGAACCGTGATAGCTAGATAGTTAAAATTTTCATAGACAATGTTTATCTATGAAATTTTATAGATGTTAATAACATAACATCACGCCTTTTATCCCCGAAGGGGATAGGCAGAGGTGCACATTACGGCACTTAATGCCACTGTACAATGTAACACCCACTTTTCACTATTTATGTTATGAGTCCCATGTAATAGGGGTGAGCCTATTGCCATATACCGGGCAAAAATAGTGTGTAGTTTACATACTTATTATTAAATGATTAAAGTAATTATCTACATTATTTATGTCGTATAATTGTGTTCTGGTTTTGCATCAACTGCTTCATTCCTCTGCAATTTCCTTTGGTTGGCTGTTAGAGAATGTCTTAAGGCATAATTCCGCAATTCATTATAAATTTGTATGAAGAAGAAATAAATATAGTTATTGAATTATTTATAGTCACTACTGAAAATAAAGCTTTCAAGTTTCTCAAATATATTACAAACCATTATGATGTTTTTGTATAGGTATGCACTTTACTAGTATTTCATTGTATATTATTGAGTTGACACAAAATTATCTGATATAGAATATGATTAAAGGGGCATCCCGATTAGTTCTTCGGTACGTTTCTCCATACATACGAAAATAATTTAATGCAATTCAGATCACCGTTTCGCTTAACTGTACACGATGCATCGCAGTGAAGTTGGGACAGTTGAAGAGAGATAGCATTATGGTTCCGCAATATGAAGAGAGCCGATTTTCCACCAATGTCCGGTCAGGTCACCGCTGGTGTTCTAGATATTTCGAAAATCAATACAACTGCATAGCCGACTGTATGAATTATTTATGTGTATCGGTTCCACCCTTTGCTACTTACAAGGACTATATTGATGTCGCTATGTATTTTAGCGTTTCATTACGACTTTGAGGGGTAGTTTTTATGATTTACTGCGGATAATTGCAATTTTGAAATATTTGGATGTTTTGAAGTCATGCTTTTTTCTTAAAACCTCAAGGATGTACAGATGCTTTATTTTTTTTTTTTAACTATCTTGAAGTATGTAATGTTGTATAAGACATTTGCAGTATTAACCCTTTAAGTATCGTCATTATAGACACAATTAAAGAACAATAGGTTGCGGTCACCGGTGTCCTCGCGGCGTTTGACAGTTTAATGTCTAATACACATGAAGGTGTTAGCAGTTGAAGTTTTGTTTTAAAAAAATATTGGATGTTAGCTTATGTACTGATCAAAGAATATAGATACGTATATTGTTACACATAGTTTAGCACATAGTTCTTTTGTAACAAATAATTATTATTACTTATTTAGAAAAAAGATATATTGCGGTTCTTTTTTGGTACTTTTAGTGTGTACATACGTGCAATAACATATTTTTTTAACCATGGTTTTCTCTCGTGTCGTGGGTGCGTAAAGAACAAGAATACAAGTCCACATACACAATATGACACACGCACCCAAAACAACAAGAATTTAGTAAACCACATATAGAATTCCTCCGTGCGGGAATCGAACCTGGACACTTTGCGCGGCAGCCGGTTACTCAGCCACCGGGCCAAACGTGCCGTCAGCAGTATTATATCTAATTACAACACTGTAAACGACAAAGTTAACGCATTGTGTGCTAATATCACTGCAGGGTTGATGTCCTCGCATCGATTAAGTTATGTACTATTAAGCAAGCATCATACCCTTGGGTAGCTGACAATATAAATCACCATGCGATTGGGGGACCAAGCACTAGCTAGCTATCTGAAAACAAGGTTGAAGTGTAAAGAATATGTATAGAGGTACTATAAACAATTAAAGTCCCTTGTTACAACAACATTATACCACAAAATGGCCTCCAATTTTAAATATTATATTTACAATAAAAACATGACTACAAAGCTGCAGCCACAAGACTTATCGTTTTATTTCAACGACACTCACGAAATTAACTGCTACTTTCTTGATGTACCCGGTAACCCAAGGATTGCTATCTCGGCCTTGACATTCTACGAATTTCATAAGTAGGTATAGTAACGCTGGGCGGGAAGTTGTTTCAAAAATCGTTCTTAATTTAAAATCCGATGCTTCCATAAATTTAACATTAACATAACATAATATCACGCCTTTTATCCCCGAAGGGGTAGGCAGAGGTGCACATTATACCACTGTACAATGTAACACCCACTTTTCACTATTTATGTTATGAGCCCCATGTAATAGGGAGTGAGCCTATTGCCATATACCGGGCACAATTCCAGACTCCGTGCTACTACTGAGAATATTTAAAAACCCAGTAATACTTTGCCCGACCCGGGAATCGAACCCGAGACACCTTGCCCGGCAGTCGCA